AAAGTGAGAAACGCGTGACGCAGACGCGAAAAATTGCTATGTATTTTTCTCGCGTTTTGCATTTGTATCTCACGTTTTTCAATTTTTTTTCACAATAAAGAGGCAAAATAATGCTGCATCTACATGGCAAAGGTAACGCAAGACGCAACGTGAAACGCACAAAAATACCATTCATTTCTAGCGCATTTTTCGTTGCGTCTCGCGTTATCTTTACCATGTAGATACAACATAACAAAGATAGAAGTATATGTCTTTCTCTCTCTCTCTCATAATTCAACGCAAAACGTAGCGTTCGAACGCAGGCAAGTAAACACCGCCTCAGTCTAATAGTTTATCGTAGTAGTTATACGAATATACATTCGTCTGTTATAAACAAGAAATTATAAGAATTCAAAAAATGGAAGCAAACTATGTGATAATACCAGAAAAGTAAAATTAATTAAACTAAAATATATATAATTTGAGAGCAATTAAACTGAACAATATTTGATTTTTGTTAAATTCGTTTTTTCTTTCTTTATTATGATAGGCCTAAATTCGAATTTAGGCCTTGTATTATCAAATAACGTATTTAACAATTAAAACAACAAAAATTATGTAATGTACATTTTCTCTCTTTTAATATTTATAGTTATATTTTAATGCACAAATTAATAATCTCAAATAATCTAACAATAAAAAGAATACTAGATGAAGGATACTTTGTTTTATCAAATTAGCGCATACTATGAATACATTACTATTATGTTTAAGTAATTTTATTGTCTCATTGAATTAAAAATACAATTTTACTAGTATGCCACTACAATTATTAAACTACTATGTTGGTAATTTTATGTAAGAAAAAATTGACAGAAAGTGTGGTTAGGCGTGTGCTCGACAACGAATAACTGTAAAATATAACAACAATTTTCAAAATCAGGAAATAAAATGTAAGAAACATTACACTGCAAAAAGAAGTATCTTAATTTAAGATGTTTTGGTAGTCATTTCTAAGATGTTTTGGTAGACACTTTTTAGTTACTTAAAACATCTTAATTTAAGATGTTAAAAGTATCTTTGTACACATTTTCTATGGTATTTTTGGGGCAAAAAGTTTTGAGGTTAACTATGGGTTCTTATGGAAAACACTTTATGTATCTTAGTTTTTAGTAACTTACACTTATGGCGCATCTTACGATTCTCAAGTAACTTATCGCTAAACATCTTATTGCAACAGAAACATCTTAATTTAAGATACTTTAAAGAACTTACAAAAGTATCTTACTTTTCTAAGACGGAAGAAATATCTTTATCACTGCTAAAACGTATAAAGCATCTTAAATATCAGTAAGATGCTTTAGAAAACATCTTATTTTAAGTTGTAAGATACCATTCTTCCATCTTACATCTTATTTTAAGATATCAAAAAAGACACCTATTTTTGCAGTGTACTCTTTTAATTTATAAGCGGCACATCTCATAGTTTAATTAATTAAAGTGAACTGTTACATGTCCTGTTTATCCACATAGCCCTTATGCATATTGATATTCACAACTGTTTTGTATATTCTGATTCGGTTTTCAAATTATTCGATAGTATTCTAATGAATAGTTTTATTTCTTTATTGTTCGAGAAGATGTTAGCTAAAGTTTTTAGAAGATTTTTTTAAATCTAGAGCCAAATTAATTTTCCTTTTGAATGTTATCTCATATGCAGGCAATTTAATAACTGCACAAGGCATCATCAACTTTGCAACTAAAGAGACAGAAGGTTGCAATGTACATATAACTGCCAAGAACTCTAGATCATATACTTTTTAATTTTCACTTTTAGATTAGTGAAGTATGTCTACATACTTTACCAGCCTAAAAGTGAAAATTAAAAAGTTTCTGCTTACTGGTTTTTAATACAACTAAAGTGTAGGGTTTAATGATTAAAATTATAACCTACTTACGGCTGCTTAAATTAAGTAGAACCTACGAATTCAGGCTCAAGGTAGGTATTAAATTTTAACTCGGGACTGTCCCCAAAAGAGAAAGTGCATGTCACACACCCACACACACATAAACCGAAAAGTTAACTTCAAGAAAAAAACAAAAAAGTTTTGTTTTTGTATTAATTCCGTATGTCTGTACAAGTCGCTATACTGCCGTCGACTATTTCTCAAGAAATATTATTCGATTAAAGTGCGTATATGTCCTTTTTTAATCTTTAGAAATATTCTAGTTTTTTACAGCACTTCAAAGGAACGTATTATCTAGTATTAATATGTCTTTTCGAAAAATGACATTTTTATTTCATTATCAAATTAATTATCCGAGTTTCAGCTAAACATTACTTTCTTCTAGGGGATTTTTGTTCGTCGAAATCCATATTATTCAACAAAGAACTAAAAAAAGTACTATCTAATCTCAAGATTTTTTAACCTCTCAATAACTATACATATTTTATTTTTACTAAAGAGGCTGTTTTATTAATTTTTTCTTATATATTATATTATATATGATAAGAAATTTTTTCTTAGAAAAAAACAATTTTTATCACAACGGAATTTTCTGTTTAAATTTAATAAGAATATTAACTTTTGTTGCAATTTTTCTTAATATGTCGATGAAGTGGAGACAAAATAAAACTTTGAAAACTATTAACAAAAAAGATGCTTTTCTTGGTCCCGGATTGGATAATCGATATATATGACCGGGTTCTTTTCGTTATCAGTGACGTAATTTCGCTCAGAAATAGATTATTCATTCTGAATTACATTTGATATTTGTTTACAAAAATGATGTTTTCACTTTTTCTGAATAGAGATTTTATTTTTTACTTTAATGTCAACATTAAACAAGCATGATAGGACCCTGTTATTTAAGATTTCTGTCATTTGTTTAAATAAATGTATTACTTTTCAAAAATATGATTATAATTATTAAAGTTTCTTTGAAGAAAAAGTCATTTATTTAATAGTTTTTTACTTTTACTGGCTTCTTATATAATTCTGGTGTTTTACTGTCTTCTGTTCCAGGAAATCAATATTTTATAACCACGCTTACAAATTTTGTCTACTTCTTGTAATAAATAAAAATGATAATTTTTGGATGTTAGCACGACTTGCACAGAAAGAGGCTGTCGCCTTTTATTGCATTAATAACAAATGTAAATTTCATCAGCAATCTGAATTGGGGCACCAAATTATTTATATATCAGCTACGCATTTCGTAGATTCGGTCTACGTATATAGTTTTTTGCTTTATAACGACAATCTTTTTTATATGATTGAAAATGGACGAGAAAAATCGGACTAGTTGTCAAAATTCTTTTGTCTTTTCAAAATACCTCCAAAATGAGACATTTGAATTATTCTCATTCTTGTGACAACCACATTGACAACATTTTTTGTGAGATGTGTTGTGAATTAGAAGAGCTAATGACGAGAATATAATTCTAATTTAATCATTACAATATTTTTATCACATCATTCGCTCTAACTAATTATTTCTAATGTGATTGTGATTTTATTGAATCTTTTAATTTTGTTTTTCTTTAAAATAATTAAATTTTTAACAATTTAATTTAGTAAATTTTGAAAAATTTACAATTAGACAATAATTAGGAAATATAATTACTGTATTTGAGAATTATAATTCATAATGAGAGCCAATAATAAAATTATATTAAGAATAAAGAAAGATTGTTCTCAACTTGATTGTGATACATAATTGCAACAATATTTCATCGAAGATAAAATTAATTATAATTAGTTAAATGTCATTAAAATGGAAAATAAAATATTTTATGAGGTGATTATGAAATAAATAACATATTTAAATGATTAGGAATATTTGTTGCAATGATTTAAAATGTTTCTTAAGATAAATAAATATGTGATTGACATGAAATGAAGAAATGTAATTTATCATCGTGAAAAAAGCAAAGTACTAGTCGGTATTGTTAATTGTTTGACAGTATGTAAAACTGTTAGATTTAGATTGTAATAAAATACGCCATAAGCCATCACTTATTTTGTTAATGGTTCGTCCGCTACGAATGTTTTTTTCTTTAGTTATTTATTTGAAAGAGTATTAAAATTTTCGCAGGTAGATATAGACTAAAGAGTATTTGATAAGAAAAATTTCTCTTTATACGTCCTTTAGAAGTTACGTTTCAAATAATTTCAAAAACATACCCTGTTTCCTTGAAATCACCGACACTGTAACCGCGATTTACATCCAATTTATTTTACATAATTATCTTGATTTAAAATTGGCTCAGCTGATACTGGTATTATCAAGATTTGAAAAAATTGTCTAGCAATTGTACGCGTGTGATGTAAGTGTGTAAAGAGACAATACAATACGTTTTTATTTTATCAAAATGCTTCCTCTAAACTCGATGTTTCTAAAAAATAATATAACCTTCATGAAAATTTACTTTCCCCAAAAAATGTGTTTTTCTTTTAAAAAGACAAATAAAAAATTCATTTTGTAACAAAATCTTGCAAAATATTTTCAGAAAAGAAGTAAACGTATATATGTATATCTATGTATATATGGATATATATTATTAATATTGTGAGAATAGATAATATCTTTACTTGTTTTAAAGAAAGTTACACTTACTTTGCTATTGGTAAGCCAAAATCTCACATCGTCACTGTTACTAACATCATGTACATTCCTCGTCATCTCACGTTATGTAAAAATAAATTCAAAGCTGTCTTCATCGATTACTATTATCATTATTACTTCACACCTTAGAACTAAGAGTATCGCTTAGTCGATTACTTCATAGCAAGATGCGTTTATTAGTCGGTTGTAGCAAAAACTTTTCTTTGAATAAAATAGTGTATTTTTTATATCGTCATTACTTTGTATTTATATGTATATCATTTATCGTAGATTGTAGTTATTTATTTCTATTAGTTATATTATTAAATGTACTTTAAAAAGCTTACATCATAGTGATATTATCCATTCGTGCTTGAAAAGAAGCATTTTATACGATTATGTGTCGCGTGTTCATTGTTAGTTTGTTTTGTTTTAAAATTGTGTCGCTTGAGTGAAACCGCTGGTGAGCGCTTTGGTGTGTAAGTTGGATTGGCCTTGGATTTACTTTTTATTTGTGAATGAGACGGCGTCGACGCTTATGCAGGTTAGCACTTTTTGCATGGTTAATGATTTCCCTCGATTAATGGACGTAGTCCTGCTCTAAGATTTCATCTAAAAATAATCAAGAACATTTCATTCGGCTCTTTTTTCATTCAAAAATTAAATATTTTCCTTAAAATTTAATTAAAAGTGAAAATGGTTTAACTGTAATTTAGAGAATCAAAAAATAAATGAAATTAATAGTCTGGCTTTAAAAATATTATATTTTAAATTTTGTTTTTATTTTTTTCCTTTTATTTGGCTACGAAAGAACCAAAAGATAGGAAAAATTTTAAAAATTAAATAACAAAATAATGAGAAACTTATTATATTGTTCTTAATGAAAAATGTTTTCAAAGAAAATTCTGAAACCTCGATGATGAAAAGAAAATACTGAAAGAGATGATATTTTAAGATGAGAAAAAATAAAGGACTAAAATTACTAAATAATAAAGATATTACAGTACTTTTCACTCTAACAATCCATGTTTCTTTAATTCCGTCAAATTTACTTGTTTTTTAAGAATTACAAATAAAACTATTTGCCTTTATGACTGTAATCGCAGCTCGTAAGTTCATTTTCATCTACCCGTAGTCAAAAGTCTCTCGTGCACGATTTTAAAATTTATATTTTTGTATTATCAAGAACATATAGAGATTGACACTTGTTAACAGAAATAGAAAAACAATTACGAAAATTACTCTATAAAATATTTCTCTACATTATCTTGAATTTGAAAACTTTAATAAATTATCTTTAAAATTTATTCTACGTAATTATTCTCGTAATAGCGATAATTATGAAATTATTATCTAAAATTATTCTACAAATTAATTTATATTCATATTACCTACAGTTCAAGATTTACTACCGGCGGAAATTGTGCGAACGCTAACATCTCGAGTTATTAAAAAACACACCCGCACAGATAGAGTTATAACTGCGTTAAAAATGAATCTAGAAATTTTTTTTTAAATTGCATTAGAAAGCTTATTAAATTTCCAATGAAATGCCACTATTTTAAGTTGTATTGCATAAAAAGAAAGCGAGATATCATGTTATGAAGACAAAAAATAATTCTATTTTTTTCGGAATTTATTACCCTGACTTTGACTCCTGGCAAAATTTAGAAAGCTATATAATGATATTTAAAAGTGGATCCCAGTAAGAATGTACTTCGTAAAATTAATTTTCGACACTTTTTTCACAGCCACGCAATTGACTCAACGGCGAATCAGAGAAATCGATGATTGAAAATATTGATTCGCACGGTCTGACTCTTTTTCTAATATCTCGTGAACCCGTAAATATTTTTTGCTGTTCTTGGTCTCTATTTGAAGCTTAGGTTACAAGGAATAGTCTGTGAAAGTAACAATTTTTTTCATCAACTTTTTTAAATTTTGCCAAGAGTGAAAGTCAGGGTAATAAATTCCGAAAAAAATAGAATTATTTTTTTGTCTTCATAACATGATATCTCGCTTCCTATTTATGCAATACAACTTAAAATAGTAGCATTTCATTGGAAATTTAATAAGCTTTACAATGCAATTTAAAAAAACATCTAGATTTATTTTTAACGGAATTATCACTCTTTCTGTGCGGGTGTGTTTTTTAATATCTCGAGATATTATCGTTCGCACAATTTCCGCCGGTAGTGTATGATCGATAAAAACATAAAAAGGTATAACTAAAGCAAAATTTTCAAACTGGAGAAACTTGTGATAAATTAATTATAAAACATTAAACAATCCTCATTTTTCATTTAAAAAATAACTAATACATTTACGATGTAAAAATAATCATGCACGGAAGACTTTTTTATTCTTCAAAGAGTAAGACGTGACTTAGAATGCGCACGATTTTCTCTAATGTTTTTCGCTATTTCTTTTTTTGGCTTGTTTTATTATCAAGTCTCGCCATTCTGATCTAAATTCGCTATACGAAGTCTATACTCATCACCAATCACATTAAAATATAAAATTTGTCTCCAAAATAAACAAGAATATATATATATATATATATATATATATATATATATTTATATATATATATATATATATATATTCACATGTGCATCGTACTGTGTACGTATTTGTATATGCATTATTTTAAAAAAGATCATCAGCATCTATTGCATTGAATCTCGAGTAAATACTTTATACATTCGACTCTCGATAATTCTATGTTGAAACACCTGAAATTTTATTTTGAATTATCGAGAATTTCGAGTTATAGAATTACATTGGTTAAGGATACAAATGCGGCCAACACCTGTCCTACGACTTCGAATTATCGAGAATCAACTGTATTTAATTAATAATAATAATAATCTCATACTAACTTTCAAAATTAGTACTGCATGACCAAATAGTTAATCAGTTTTACTTCCGATTTTTTCTTTCTTTTTATAATTTACCGACTTTATCAGTTACCAAATATTGTATTTCGTAATACGTAATTGGTTACTTTTTTATATTAAAGTACACTCACTCGTACACGAAACGAGCAACAGTTGTGAACCGATATAACAAACAAGAAAATTTGCCTGCTCGTAACGTGATTTTACTTTTAATCAATATTATTATTTATTTTATATATTAGTCATATCTAGTAGTCGCGTTTCAAAGAGGCGACTACTTTTTCTTTATTTTTTTACGTCTCACTAATTCCATCCCCTTTTCAAGTGACTAACCTACTCTGTCACTTTACAGTCGCTTCTATTAATTTATTTCTATGAATTTAGCTATAACTAGAATAATTTACTAAATTGCTAGTCGTTTCTCGTTCAATATATTATCAATATTTTATATTTGTATATGTATATGTATATATATATTATTTTTATTTATGTTCATATTTATATATTTATATTTATACGGTTTTCAATTATTTCTAGCGAAATAATCAGTTGGTACTTTGGTTGATTTTCAAGTCCTCTTTTCTGTTCTGTCAATTGTAGACAGATAAGGGCTTTTTTCTCTATTCCTGCGCTATCTTCGTCGCCGTTCTGAGTAATGGTCCCCCCGTCCAAAAAATGATCGTCCTATAAAGGATCACGGTCCGCGAAACGACCAATATATATATTTTTTTTCTTTGAATGTCAATTATTGTTTATATAGAAATTGCTGTGAATTATAAATTGAGTGTTTGTTTTATTCATATATTTTATGTAAATATTTAATGATTAAAATATACCCTGGCAGATTGGACTGAACTAATGTCTATTCAGCTGCGTAGACATTAGGTAAAAATTATTTAAAATGTAAAAAAAGATCCTAAATCAGATAGTTCAACAAAACTTTTGGAATTATCCCTTTTGAAGTACAACAATAATAAAGTTTTCATGGCACAAATTTTTTTAACAGCATCTGTACCTTATGGTGTACCGGCTATCCCTATCAAAAATTTTACTATTCAATTCACTTCACATTTATTAAGTCCCTTTAGTTTGTATATAAGTCAAGTTAATTAATTTAACAAATTTTTTGATAGGTACAGCATGTGCCCTTTAATTCTTTCCGTATACCTAAAATGAGAGACCTTTTGGTCTGTAGCAGACTTTTTATAGGCTGCTGCTGACCATTCCTTTGGTAAGCTACGAGACTATACTTTTGGGCTGCTGCGGTACAACTGGTAGAGGCTCCGGAATTTTCTGTGATGCTCGGTTTTTGACAAAAATATTTTGTGGTGAATTACTGTGATTGCCGCACAAGGACCCTGTGAGACCTTTTTTAGAAAATTACACTCTAAAATGTTTTACTTAAAATGTAAATGAACTAACTTTCAATCTAGTCTTAAATTAAAGCAGTAACTAAAAATAAGTTACTATGATTTACAGAAAATAATTATCCTATATCTTAAAGAATATTAAAACAAAAATCGTACTGAAAAATTGTACCAATGATGAAATTCAATATTATCATCCATTTAAAGTACGTTATAACGTCAGACTGCATTATCGACAGTAGCTTACTTTCAGTTATTGCAAAGAACTTATTTTAAAGTTTTTGCTAAGATACTGACTTTCATGCATAGTGTACTGACTCACACCTTAAATTCCGTAAGAGTGTGTGATTGCATTTAAATAAATCTTTTTTCTGTGTAGTTTTGCTTGTTACATCTGACAAATAATAATTTGTTATATCTTTTATGATTTTAATGTTCAAATGATCAAAATATATTTATTTCTTTTTCAAATTCAAATCTTAATACAATAATATTAGGTTAATTATTAAAATAATTTATAAAGCTTCAAAATTTAATTTATGTTTTTCATTTTTATTTCAGTTTCAAATCTATAAAAATATTTAGAGTGCAAAAAATATTTCGTTCATGTGAACCTTTAAAACATTATCTTTCTACGTATACCTTGTCGGGTTTTTACTCATTTGCAAGTTGAATTATATATTTTTTTGTTATTTATATTAAATAATATATACCTACTTAAATTTTTAACAAGAAACAAGCATCACTGAGAATATAAGGGCCTTATCAGTTTCCTACATTTTTTGTTACCAGAAATCCACTAAACTTCAGCTTTGGATAAGAAAAATTAGATACATTTTACACGGGTACTTTTCCAGCTACCCTGAAAACCAGTTTATTCATAAAATATCCTGAATATCCGGGTTTATTAGGGAAAAATGGACCATGATATGAATGTAATTTTCAAATCGTTTTACGAATCTTTGGTGAAACGTTCCTCGAACGAGAATGTTTTTCTTTACCACTGGGTTGTTTAAGACAAAAATATCCTGTGGGTTGGGAACAATTTTAGCTGATTTATGAACATTTTTTTTACTTTTTCCCTAAAATATAACGAATGTCAGTACCTAATGTTTACCCAGCTGGATAATCTAATCTGCTAGGGTAATTATATATAATTAAATTCATATGGACAATATGGTACATAGATATACACATATATCCATATATATTGGCGTATATAACATTACACAACTAAAAGATTATAGACCCATGTGGAAAATGCCCAAGTTTGCCCT